TTTAAGGAATTATTTTCTTGAGTTAGCTTTTGTACTTCCTTTTTCATTCGGCCAATTCTATTTTTTAAGGAGTTGTTTTCTTCAGTCAATCTTTGTGCTTCCTTTTCCAAGCTGTGGACTCTTTTTTCATAATTCTCCTACATGACTCTCATTTCTTTTCCCAATTTCTTTATTTTTTCTTTTCTTTTTCTTTTTTTTTTTTTTTTTTTGGCTAGGCAATGAGGTTAAGTGACTTTGCCCAGGGTCACACAGCTAGTAAGTGTCAAGTGTCTGAGGCCGAATTTGAACTCAGGTCCTCCTGACTCCAAGGCTGGAGCTCTGTCTACTGCACCACCTAGCTCCCAATTTCTTCTACCTCTCTTACTTGATTTTTAAAATCCTTTTTTGAACTCTTCCAAGAGGACATTTTGGGCTTGAGACCAATTCATATTCCCCTTTCAGGCTTTGCATGTAGACATTTTGACATTGTCGTCCTCCTCTTAGTTTGTGTTTTGATCTTCCCTGTCACCATAGTAGCTTTCGATGATCAGGGCTTTTTTTTTTTTTTTTAAGTTGAGCTCTGCTCCTAGGGTCCAGCAGGCACTGTCTCAAGCTTCTTGCACTGGGGGCCAGGGGATTGGTCACTGGATTTCTGCACCAGGGCTTCTAGGGCTGGCAGCTTGCCCACTGTGCTAAGGTGGCCTGGCCTGGTCACACCTGTTGTGCCCTGGGTTCCGAGGGTGGCAGTTTACTTGCTGTACTGGGTCTAAAGGCCTCACAGCTGGCTTTTTGTGCCACTGGCCTGCTGAAGCAGAACCATGGAGCCTCGGTTGTTGATCCGTGCGGTGGCTAAGAGTCTCCTACCGGCTTGCCTGGACACCATCCGTGCTAGGCTGCACTTCCCTTTTACCCAAGTGAGACAGACCTTTCCTGAAGTCCTTCCAAGTTATCTTGGGGTAGAAAATTGTTTCGTTCCATCTTTTTGTGGATTCTGTTGCTCCAGAATTCTTTCAGAGGCTTGATTTAATGTTGTTTCCAAAGGAAACCGGGGAGAGCTCAGGCAACTTCCTGGCTTCTCTCCGCCATCTTGGCTCTGCCTAGAAACATACACTATTAACATTCTTAAAAACAGTTTGTTCTTTAAGGGAACTCAAACATGCTTTCCTCTTAATCTTGTTTACATTGCTTAGCAAGCCCTTCCTTTGTCTGTGGTGCAACGGTAAGCTCCACCCTAACCCTGCTGATGATTTCCTAATCATTGCCATTTACTACAAAGGTGACCTTGGCCCTTGACCTTTGGGCCTCAGTTTCCTCCTCTGAAAAATGAGGGAATTGGACTAACTGACCTCTAAAGGCCCTTCCAGCCCTTAATGTGTAATCCTAAAACTCTCTAATAGAGTCTGGATTAAAGACATTTTTCTGAATGGAGCCCTAGATTTTGACCCGGGCATCTTCCTATCCCAGTTTCCTAGTCCCTGAGTTTGCTTCTTCTCCTATTTTTGTTGTTCAGTTGTTTCAGTCATGCCCAACTCTCTATGACTCCACTTGGGGTTTTCTTGGCTAAACACTGGTGTGGTTTGCTATTTTCTTCTCCAGCTCATTTTATAGAAGAGGAAACTGAGGCAAACAAGGTAAAGTGACTTGCCCAGGGCTCTTTGTTGTTCAATCATTTCAGTCATGTCTGACTCTTCATGACCTCATTCGAGGTTTTCTTTGTAGAGATACAGGAGTGGTTTGCCATTTCCTTCTCCAGCTCATTTTACAGATGAGGAAACTGAGGCAAACAGAGTTAAGTGACTTGGCCAGGGTCACACAGCTAGAATGTGTCTGAGGCAGGATTTATACTCAGGTCTTCCTGATTCTAGGACCATGGCTCTATCCACTGTGCCACTTAGTCGTACTCTCTCTCCCACGCCTGGCAGCAAAGCACGGGAGGGAAGACACTGGCACTAGGGACAGACAACTAAGGCTCAAATCCCAGCTCTGTTACTGAACCCCTTTGCCCTCAGTTTCCTCATTTCTATATTGCGGGAGTTGGACCAGATCACAAGTTCTTAACCTGGGGTCCAAAGACCCTGAAGGACTTGCTGGATAGATTTCAGGAGATCTGTCAACTTGGATGGGAAAAAAATGCATCTTTATTTTAACATAATTGGTTTCCTTTATAATACTATTATTTTATTTTATGTATTTACAAACATGATTCTAAGAAGGGGTCCATAGCTTCCCCAGCGTGACTGCCAGAAGGGTCTGGGATGCCCGAAAGTTTGAGAATTAATGGATGAGATGATCTTCAAGGTTATTCTAGTTCCAAATCTACATGGCCTAGGGGAACAACTCTTAGTTTTGGAGTTAGAGAGTATGAGTTCAAATCCTCTCTCAGTCATGACCTTGTATGACTTTGGGTGAGTACAACCTTGGGTGAGTTAGACTCTGGGCTTAATTTTAACTTAATTTTAAATTAACTGACTTAATCTCTCTGGGCTTCAACTTCCTCTTCTGTAGAATGAAGGGATTGGTCTAAGTGACCTTTGAGGTCCCATTTAAGGATAAATCTATAATCCTCCCTAAGCTATTTCCAGCTCTAGCTTACCTTTTGACCGAAGATACAAAACATACGAAGAACCCTCTAAGAAGGTTTCCTGCAGCCATCCCCTTCAGTGCAGGGAAGTCAAACATTTATATTAGCAATTACAGTACAGTAGCTGAGATTTAATGAGCCTGTAAGGAGCTGGGTGGAATTTGTCATATACACTGGGCCTCTGTGAAGCCTCCATCAAAAGGGTTATTGAAACACTCCAATATGGCTCCGTGTGGTGTTCATTGTGCTCAGCCTCAATGGTGCCCTTTGCGGCCAAGCCTGCTAATGACTCACTCGGTGACCTTGTTCAGCTCTTCCGGGCTTAAGCTTTTTCCCTTTTGCAAAAAAGAACCATCTGTGATGTGCCCAGGCTTGTTGAGGGAGGGTCTAGGAGATACAGAAGTCTAATGAAGGTATCACCTCTGCTCTTACAGAGCCTGTATCAGTACAGCATAGAGGTAGTGTAAAGAACGCTGGAATTGGAGACAGGAGAAACATGGGTTCAAATCCTGCCTACCTGTGTGATCATAAATAAGGTATTTAATCTCTTGGAATCTTCATTTCTGCAGGGGAAAGGGAACTGTTCCCAAAGTGACATTGACATACAGGGATGACAGCCATGGCAAGGGGACGTATGCCAATGGGGAACTCCAATAAAGGGCACACTTTCCTGAACTATTTTCTCCCCAGCTCAGTTTCCTCATTTCTATAATGAGGGGGTTGATCTAGATCAAGATTTCTTAACCTGGGCTACCCTGGTGATGCAGACATGTGACAAATCAAACTTATGTAGGGATCAGATTTGTCTAGAGTTTTAAACAAATTGCTGATGGCGGCACTCATAGGATCTGCCCCATCACCTATGGGGCAAAGCAGTGGGGTTGTTTAGATTGCTAGAATCAGGGTATTTTCTGAATTACCTAATAAGGAAAGAGGAAGGAGGGGGCAACAACCCAGGAAATGTAACTCTAATTGTGTTACAACAAGCAAGTAGCTGGAGAGGGGTAATTCTCTGCCTCCAGGTCAGTTGTGCCTTTAGCATCCATACGCCCTGGGGACTGAGACTATATCAATGAAACTAATTTTTACCCACTCAGATTCTTTTTTTTTTAGTGTCTACTTTTTGATTAATTATATACCTTCTCCATTCTTTTTTTATTTTTTATTAATTTATTTTGAGTTCTCAACAATCACTTCCATAAGCTTTTGAGTTTAAAATTTTTCTCTCCCTCCCTCCCAGTACACAGTACAGTACACAATCTGATATAGGCTTTACATATACATTCCTATTAAATATCTTTTCACATTAGTCACATTCTAAGGATGAATTAGAACCAATAGGAAGAACCACAAGAAGGAGGAAACAAAACAAAACAGAAGAAAAAAAAAGAGCAAATAGTATGCTTCAATCTGCATTCAGAATCCATAGTTCTTTCTTTGGCTACGGATAGCATTTTCCATCACGAGACCTTTGGAGATAGCTTAGATCTTTGCATTGCTAAGAAGGGTTAAGTCTATCAAAGTTAGTCATCACACAACGTGGCTGTTACTGTGTACAACATTCTCCTGGTTCTGCTCACTTCACTTAGCATCAGTCCATACAAGTCTTTCCAGGTTTTTCTGACGTCTGCCTGCTCATCATTTCTTACAGCACAATCCTACTCAGATTCTTTATGTAAGGAAGGGTATTCCATATTCTTCCCTTTCCTCTTCAATAAGTATAACATAAGGTCATGGTGGAGTTTTAAATGTATAAAGAAGATAGTCTACGCTCTAGGATCTCTCTATGAGAGGCGAACCTTTTCGATTGGGCCAAGAAAGGAACATCTGATTGGCTAACCAAGCAACCCGACATGCTTTTGGGTACTGTAAGTAGCAGGAGGAATTTTAATAATCAGCCAGTCAACTGGTGGACCAGTCCAGTAGTAGAAGAGTCCAAATTCAGACACTGAAGATTCCATTTCCAGATTTGGAGTCAAACCCCTGAGATGGAATTGCTCTTGGGGGAAAGAAAGAATTTCACTTTTCCCCATTTCACCCTACCCCAATACTGACCATATTATTGGAGAAACTAGAGCAGTTGGAGACAAGACATCCAGACGGGAGCAGAGACCCACAAAGACTACTGGATGTAGAGAGACAGTCACCCACAAAAGGAGGCAGCTTCATGGAGCCTGACCCATTGCATCAGAGAAGAAAGCCCACCACGAACTGGAGAAAGGAGTTATCCTTTGCCACACACGTCTCCTCCACATGTGCCTTGCCTCATCATCATTGCATTCTAAAATTGTGCCAGCTCTTCCCAGGGACTCGTGTGCAGTTGCAGGAGAATATGCCCCAGGCTTTTTTAGGAGCAGAGGGGCAATGTTTTTTGTTTTGGTTTTTTTGGTATCAAATTTGTTTTATTCTTAATAGTTTCTCAATCATCTTGATTCAGTCATTAGCGCTGCTTCCGTCTGAAGGAGTATCCTGTAAGTCTTGCCTTTCCACCAGTAGGCTGACATAGCACAGTGGAGCGTCCCGCACAGCAAACCATTATTTGTACGTGGCTGAAGACAGGGGTGATTTTATAGCACCCCAAGCACTTTCCATCCATGAAATACGAGTTCAGACTCTGCATCAGGCACTTCTTCTCGTGTTTCTGCTTCTCCTCCTTGGGAGAGGGGTGCAGGAGGTCTTTCGTGAGAGGCATGTTGGCGCAGGGAGATCTTCACCACTGGAAAATAGGGGCAATGTTTTTGTACCCATTGTTCTTATTAAACCATTTTAGTAAATACCATTTCTAAAAACTAATTAGCTTTACTGGCTAATTAAAGTCTACTGGCTGATAGTATGAACCACCATACTAGAAACATGGCCCCTCAGGATTACTCCAAGAACTCCAAGAGTGGTAATAGCATTCACTCTCTGGGGACCTAACCTACCAATATGAGGGAAAGTTAGGGGAGTAATCCTAGAGGAAGTGCTAAATTTATTTATACCCTAGAGCCCACCTCACAAGGTTGTTGAGGGCATTCAACAAGATAATATCCATTCAGTATTTGGCCAAACCTTAAGGATTCTATGTGACCCTTTAACTTTTGGGGTGAAATCTACCAAGTTTTGCCATAGAGACATCAGATTGCAGAGAGTGGCTAATAAAATACTTTCGAAGAATTCACAGGTTGGTGGACATTTTTGAATGTGGTGTTGAGACTTCTGGTTAGGGGAAGCTCTCAGAGGAAAAGCAAGGGACAGGGTTGAGTGTGTGCACATCTGATCTCTATTTGCCTATTCCTCTGCCCGCTTTCTTCCAAGACTTCGGTGGGCTGTTACTGCAGGATGCCAGTGATTGGAACTGAAAGGACAGAGCCTAAAAGAGAGCCAGAATGTTAGTGAGCTATGAACTATGAACTGTGAACTGCCAGGAATGTATGGGCTCTGAGTTGGTTCTCCCTGCCCAGTAGGGGAGATAGCTCAAAGCTCCCTAAGTCTCATTTTGGGATGCTGTTATCTCCACTTTTCTTCCTGCTCAGTCAGGGGAGAAAGAAAAGAAACCAAGACAGAGAAATATCTCTTTTGGCTGCTTACTGGAAGCCGCCAATGCTTGGTTTTTAATTTCTTGACTGCACTACTTTGAATTCTTATATACATCTACATGTATGATAAATGCCAGGGAGGTGGATAGAGATTTGGGAAAAGATCTTTGGCCCCTTTAAAAGAGATGAGAAATGCTATCTTCTCTTCTCTTTCCTTTTCTCTTTCCTTCTCTCTTCTGTTCTCTTCTGTTCTCTTCTCTTCTCTTTTCTTTTCTCTTCTCTCTCTTCTTTTCTCAGCATGAGCCAAAATAAATGTGCAGGCTTTGAGACAGAGCACCTGCGGATTTCCCATAAGCAGGAGAGTGCTCCATCTTCTATCCCCAGACTAACACAAGCAAATGTAAGAGGATGAGCCTCAGATGTGGTAAAGTTTGGGGACTATGCAGAGGTTGAGAGCTACTCTCAGCTTTGCTCCAGTTTCTGAGGTTTTCTGCTACCATTTAAACCTGGGGAAGTTTGGTCTCAACTTACAGAGGCTGCTCATTCACTTCTGAGATTTCTCCCACACCTACACCCAGTTTTGGTGTTGTTTACACAAGCCAGGTGGCAGCCAGGTAGCACAGGGGACAGAGTGTTAGGTCTGAAGTCAGGACAACCTGAGTTCAAATCCACTCTCAGACACTTCCTAGCTGTGTGACCCTGGGCAAGTCACTTCACCCAGTTTGCCTCAGTTTCCTCATCTGTGAAATGAGCTGGAGAAGGAAACAGCAAACCACTCCAGTATCTTAGCCAAGAAAACCCTAGATGGGGTCACGAAGAGTCAGACACGACTGAAAAGATTCAACAACAACAACATACAAGTTCTCCCTATCCAGACCACCCCACCCTAGCAATGGCTGCACGTTGAGTCAGGTTGCCCCAGTGTGCACCATTCTGTTACGCATAGGGCGCCCCTCCCTCTAATGCTACAAGTGGGGAGAGCCAATTCACATTCTAGTTGACAGACACCCCTACATGTGTAAATGTCAAGTCTTTTATTAGCATCTTCTTGCGGAGATGTGACTAACTCACCAAGTAGGAAAGAATCATGTATTGAATTATGTCATTCTGATTATGGTCTATTGGAATTCCTATAGAATGTGAGTTCATGGAGGGCAGGGACTGTTTGCCTTCATATCACCAGCACCTAGTACATGCTGGATGAAATGAATTGAATTGAATTGAATTGGTACAGTGCAATGATTTAAAGTCAGAGGACTCAGGTTCAAATCTCACCTTTGCCGCTTAATACTTGGGTGAACTTCCTTTTTCTGCACCTTAGTTTATTCATTTTCAACTGTATGATGAGGGGGTTGGCCTGGATGCCTTCAGAGGTCCCTTATGGTAGGATGCAAGCTTCTTGAATCTAAGGACTGTCACATGTAGTTGTATCTCAAAGATCTAGCACAGTGCCTGACACATAGTAGGCATTTAAAATGTTTGTTGATTGACTGATTGATTTTAGCTCTCCATCTATGACCCTATGAATCAAATAGGAGTTCTGGGGAACTGAAAGTGGACCAATGACTGAGAAAGCTGAATTTAAACCTCACCATAAAGCAGGGATCCTAAAACTGGGGTCTGTGAACTTTATTTAAATAGAATTTATTTCTTTTGTAATTCTATGTATTTTATGCTATTCATTTAAAAAGATTATTCTGAAAAGGGGTCCCTAGGCTTCCCCAAACTACCAAAAGGGTTTGAGACCCAAAAAAGATTAAGAACCGTTGCCCAAAAGGATCAGTAGGAGCTGAATAGGACAAAAATAGGGAAGGCAGAGGGCATTCCATGTGGATTAATAAAATATTCAATTCATCCAACAAACATTTATTAAGTACTTGCTGTGTACAAGGAGCTATGTTCAGCACTGAGAAGACAAAGACAAAAAAAATGAAACAGTGCTTGCCTTCAGGGAGCTTATAATCTACTGTTAAGTTTACATTCTGACACAATGAAAGTAGTGGGAGAGGAGATTCATCCTGAGAGTTTCTGCTTTTTCCAATTAAAAGAAATTCTGATCTAAATCAACAAAAAGGGACACTGAGAGTAGTATTTTAGGAAAATTATTCTGGCTGTGATGTAGTAGATAGAGTGGAGAGACAAGGTTAGAAGCCGCAAAATTTATTAGGAGGCTTTTATGACATAAATTGCCTGGGATAGGGGCTCTGGGGGTGGATAAGAAAGGGCAAATCTGGCAGACCTTTGGAAAGGAGATCAATAATGGAATTTGGTGTGAGATTGGAGTAAGGGGATGAGTTCACCTGCTCAAGCCTTGGAAATTGGGAGAATGGCAGTGCCATTGATAGGAAGAAAAGCTTGGAATGGTTCAAAGTCAACTTGGAAAGGAGTCTCCGATGGCACACCCCCAGGATTTTGTACTTGGAACTGTGTTGGTCAACAATGGATAAAGGCAGACAACATTGGTGTCAGATCTGCAGATGACACACAGCTAGGAGGGATAGTTAGCATGATAGAGGTCTGAGTGAGAATTTAAAGAAAAAAAATCTCTTCTTAGACTAGAACACTGGGCCAAATAAAATAAAATAAATTCTAATAGGTAGGGATAAATGTAAAGTCTTACACTGGGTTAAAAAAATTGAATTCACAAGTATGAGATGGGGGAGATATGATTAGATAGCAGTTTATCTGAACAAGCTCTTGAGAGCTGAGTGGACTACAAGCTCAATATGGGTCAATAGTGTGACATGGCACCCAAAAAAGCTAAGATCATCTTGGATATTAAGAGAGAAGCATATTGCCCAAGTCTAGGAAGGTGATGATCCCTCTTTACACTGTCCTGATCAGACCATATCTGGAGTATTGTGTTTCATTCTAGGCAAAATATTTTGGAAGAACATTAGTAAGTTGGAGAAGAGCTAGAAGAAGGCAGCCAGGATGGTGAAGGGCCCAGAGTCCTTGATGTATGAGGATCAGTCGAAGGGACTGCAGATGTTTAGTCTGAAGAAGGACGGACACATCTGCTAGCTCAAGTGTTTGAAGAGCCAACATGTGGGAGAAGGACTAAATTTGGTCTGCCTGACCCAAGAGACAAGAGCCAAATGGAGTGATTGAAAATTATAAAGGGGTAAATTTAGGCTTGATCTAAGGAAATACTTCCTAATGATGGAGGGACCAGTGGAAGTCTTCAAGGAAAGGCCAAATGTCCATTTGTCAAGTATGTTGTAGAGAGTTTTCTTGTTAAGGTAAGGGCTATATTAGGTAGCTTGGGAGATTACTTTTAGTGTTGAGGTTCTATGAGTAATCCAAAAGTGGAGTAGGTTTTCCTTGGGACTCACCTGAGGTCTTCAAGCCAACAGGTGTAATTGGGGAAGCCTCTTTACAGGGCAAGGTGAGTTCAGTTTTAAAGATATTGAGTTTGAAGTGACAGAGGGATATCTAGAAATTTCTAGTAGGAAAATGGAAACATGGTCCTGGACTACAGATGAGAGGTCAGGGTTAGTAATTTACATATATATATAGTTATATTTATAAATGTATAGTTTATGTAGATATACTTGTAGTATATATAAACTGTATTTATTTATATATAGTTATATTTAAGAGTGAGATATATATATATA